GGGGGCAGTGTTGCGGTTGTCGCTTGTGGCCACGATAGCATGGTTGATGCGATCAGATATGCGGTTGTGCACAACTTAGACGCCACCTCTCACCGTGTCGATTACTTTGAAGAACTTCAGTCATGGGCATGAGCTGGAAGTTATATTTTTATAAATATTTATTTGAATCCGTTGCATAAAGGACAGTAAAGACTATACAGTAGCTGAGGTAACCGCATATGCACGACCGCAGGCTCTTCGAAAAGGAGTAATTTGTAGAGGTGGGTTTACTGAGCCAGCCCTAGCTTTCTTCCGTATACGGAGGTATCAGGGTGAAACAAGGGTCCGAATTGTGAATCTATTCAGTTGATGCTTCAGAACCGCTTTTCTGGCAGCCAGGTTTGTGGCTACGAAAGCCGTACTTGGTTTGCAATTCAGCTGCACCTGGGTTTCGTACTGCCTTTAAATGGTATATCTAGGTAATGATTTCCAATACCACCTTTCAGATATACCAGTTATCATAATCCTCGAGTTTCTTTTTCTTCCATAGCCACCGTATTTTGTGAAGTTACCGATATAATGGTGAATTTTAGGGGAATCTGTGTGCGTTCACTGACGGAGGCGTCAGGTGCACGTTGCTTTACCAATATTGTAGGCACTGCCCTGTGGGGTCACATGATTATAAACCACTGCTACTCGCTGATCAATAATATATAATCTAATGAATGTTTAACCACGCTAAAAGCTTGTGTCTCATAGAACACTGCAAACTAGTATTGCTGTGCCCTTATTAAGCGTCACGCGTTGACATGCATCGGCATCAGCAGATGAGGCAGATGCACTGCGAAAGCTGGAAAAGTTAAAATTCGTTCCCATGAGTGTGTACTAATTTCCAAAACTTTGCACCGACCGCAGCCTCTGGTTTTCTTCGATAATACGCCTATTCCTTTACCGTTAGTTGCTCTTTATCCAGACCGGGAGTTTTGAAGCATGTAACAGTTTGCCCAATTGGCCATGTCTCTTGTATTATTCAGTCATCTCACATTAAATGCAGAACTGGTAATCCCGTCACATTTGTAATTCTGGCCTCAGCGGAGGGCCAGAATTCGCAATATGGTTCATTCTGTAGCCAGGAAGATGGAATAGTTTTAGGTTTGACCTCAGATGACCAGTTGAGATATAACTGGTATTACCCGGATTTTAGGATATCCTTAATACAACTAGTATAGACGAGAGCTAGGCCCACTTATATTTCGTACGTAAAATCAACAGGCCGCTGGTCTCAAATGTAGCCCTTTACATGTCTTCCGCCTTTCAGCACTCGTGGTAACTCTACCCACGAGGTTCCTAGAGACGAGCCGTACTCTTAATTTTGGCCAATCTAGTCAATCATATAACGACATCGCTTAAAGAGATTGTATATCCATCTGGTTTCGCACAAAAGTGCTTATCGTCGATTCTGCATATGCCGACGGAAATCCGTAGTTTACGTCGCGTAATCTGAGGCAAACCAAAAATCATGCGAGGCGCAGCCAAATACCTTATGGGGCGCAGCAAAACAAGCTTTTTCTCTCGATCTTGACCCCTGGAAACCCGGCAAGTAAGCTTTATCCATACAGCGTGAGCAAAAATGAGTAAATATTATCCAGATTCGGTATAAAC